AATGCTTAAGAACAAGCTCGAATGTGCACCGCGAGAAAACACAGACAGGCATGTCGGGCCATATGCATCGTAAGGGCGCCTGAACCACGGCACTAAACCTCTTCATGTCTCCGGATTTTGGTGTGAAGACTTCCCTATATGCCTCAATCTTAATTTCAAACTTGTAGGCTTCGGCGCAAAAGCAGCTACGAGGATGTTATGAACAGCCTGGCCCCTTGAATTTCAGCCTAACTCAATACGCATGACAACCTCCAACCGAAAAGACAGAATATCCGCCATTCCTGAACTCCCTCCGCAAGTCCGGGCAGCACAGCGATGCCAACGCCAGCAGTCCCGCCGCTGAGAACCAAGACCTACGCAGTTGAACTGCTGTCAGGCCGGCCCGAAAAGCGCCTGCAAACCCGTATGCCGTCTACATAAGCGTCGATACAATCAGCCCACTGGTCCTTGTGCACTTTTCATGTCCATGTCGGGCTGCAGGCTGCCAAGCCAAATCAATGTTGTCGCTGGAGGGCGAAAACGTGCAGACAGTCGTTTTAGGGTCTGTCTATAAACGCGCACAAAAGCTTTCAAAGTGTAGAAGGGAAAGTTTTTTTCTGACTGGGCATCTACAAGGCTGAGAAAAACAAAGGTACGGCGTTCTGGGTAGAGGTTCGCGAGGCAGGGAGCATTACCTACTTGATGAAACCCTGCAGACTCTGAAGTGGTGAACATTGAACTCCTCAGTGGTTTTGCCTGGAATGGAGCCCCGGCATCCCAAACGCCACATGGCCATCTAAGAGCCGATCCCTTACGTTCGTTTCTGAAACTTGACTTCGACCTAAACCCCTAAACCCTAAACCCTGCCAGAGTGTCGGGCCTTGATCTGCGAGGCCCAGAAGGGTGGGACGCCGATCTGCAGCGGATGCTACGGAGAACTGTCGGGTTCAGGGATTTAGGGTTCATGGGGTCCGCGATGTTTGGATGATTCGATTGTCAAGAAACTGACGTTAACGGAAAAGAAGATCGAGAGTTCCACGGGTTCCTAATCCAACATAAAGCTACAACCCATGCTGCCGTTGCCCAGGACGCAAGAATTCTGGCCAAGAGACGGTTGGAACTGAGATTTGAGGAATGCTTCACTAGGCCTAGGCTGAAAGTGGGGGTGGCAGTAGCAGTAGTGGCAGTAGCAGCAGCAGGAGTCTTAGCAGTAGTAGTCGTCGTCGCCCTCGTAGTCCCATTAGTCACATTAGTCCCAGTACCGCCGGGAATCGTTGAAGTCCTAGTCGTCCGAGTGGTTGTAGCAGTCGCAGTACATGTCGTAGTCGTCGTTGTCGTAGTAGTCGTCGTGGTAGTGGTAGTGGTAGTGGCAGTGGTGGTGGTGGTGTGTTGGGTAGTGGCGGTTTTAGCAGCACCAGCAGCAGCAGGAGGAGGAGGAGTAGCGGAGTAGCAGTAGTAGTAGTAGTAGTAGTAGTAGTAGTAGTAGTAGTGGTAGTGGTAGTGGTAGTGGTAGTGGTAGTAGTAGTGGTAGCAGTAGCAGTAGCAGTAGCGAAGGCAGAGGCAGTGGCAGCAGCAGTAGCAGGAGCAGCAGCAGCAGCAGTAGCAGCAGCAGCAGTAGCTGCTCCAGATGTTGTTGCTGTTAGTGCTGGTTAACGTGATGTGTTTTGTTATGAGTGTTGCTTTGGTTGCTGTTGCTGGCAGTGCTGCGGGGCTGTTGTTGAAGTGGGGGCGGCGCTGGTGGTGCTGTGGTGGCTATGCTTCTGGTCGCGCTTGTGGTTGTGGCCGTGGCAGTAGTTGTGCTTGTTTTGTTGTGGTATGTTATTGTGCTTGCTGTTGAAGTTGTAGTGGTGGTGATTTGTATTTGGTGGTTGGCGGTTGGCGGTTGGTGGTTGGTGGCGGTGCTGGTGCCGGTGCCGTTGCCGTTGCTGCTGCTGCCGCTGCCGCTGCTGTTGTTGGTGGTTGTTGCTTGTTGTTTGTTGTTGGTTTTTGGTGTTTGTTGGTCGTTGCTGTTGTTGATGTGGTCGTGGTTGCCGTCGTCGTTGTCGTGGTCGTTGTCGTTGTCGTTGTCGTGGTAGTTGTGGTTGTGGTTGTTGTTGTTGTTGTTGTTGTTGTTGTTGTTGTTGTTGTTGTTGTTGTTGTTGTTGTTGTTGTTGTTGTTGTTGTTGTTGTTGTTGTTGTTGTTGTTGTTGTTGTTGTTGTTGTTGTTGTTGTTGTTGTCTTTGCCGTTGTCGTTGTTGCTGCGGTTGCTCGTATTAGTATGGTGGTGTGTTGTTATTGTCCTTGTTGGTGTTGTTGTTGTTGCTGCTGCTGTTGTCGTTGTTTGGCGTCGATGTCGTTGTTGTTGATGTGGCTGCTGTTGTTATTATTGCTGTTCTTGCTGTCGTTGTGCTTGTTGTTCTTGGCATTTCCCTAAATGTTGGCCGCTTTCGTGTCATTGTTATTGTTGGTGCAGTTTTGGTTGGTGGTGTTACTGTTCATGCTGTTGTTGATGTCGGTGTTGGTGTTGGTGTTGTGGTTGTTGCAGTTGGTAGTTGGGATGGTGTGGTGGCGGTTGGTGGTGTCCGGGCCGTTGTTGGTTTTGTTGTTGGCGGTGGTGGTACTGGCTGTTGTTGTTGTTGTTGGCTGTTGTTGGTCATGTTGTGCTCTTTCCTTGTTCTTTGTCTTAGTGTTGACATTATTGCTGTCGTTGTTGCTGCTGTCGCTGTTGATACTACCTGGGTTGGTGTTGGTGGTGGTGGTGACTTGGTTACTGGCAGCGTTGTCGGGGCCGTTGTTGGTTTTGTCGTTGGTGGTGCTACTGTGCTGTTGTGCTGCTGCTGCTGCTGCTGCTGCTGCTGCTGCCAGTTTGCTTTTCTTGTTGCTATGTCTTGCCATGATGCTGGCGTTGTTGTGGCTGCTGCTGCTGCTGCTGATGCGCAGTAGTTGTAGTAGTAGTCGTCGTCGTCGTCGTCGCGTCGTTGCTGTTGGTGGTAGTGGTGGTGGTGGTGGCGGTGGCGGTGGCGGTGGCGGTGGCGGTGGCGGTGGTGGTGGTGGTGGTGGTGGTGGTGGTGGTGCTGCTGCTGCTGCTGCTGCATTGATGCTGTCGTTGTTGGCGCTGGTTTCGTCAAGATTGTTGTGTTATTGTTGGCGGTGTCGCTATTGTTGTTGTTGTTGTCGGCGATGGCGTTGGAAGTGTTGGGTTGGCCTTGGCGTTGTCGGCTGTTGCGGTCGTTGTGTGGCTATGGTTGTTGTTGTGGCTGTTGTTGTTGTGCTTGTTGTCGGTTGCTGTTGGTTGATTGTCGGTCGCTGGGCTTTAGTCGTTGCTCGTTGCTTGGTGTGCTGGTTCTTGTCTGTGGTGCTTGGTTTGTCGTGTAGTGTGTGGCTCGCATTTGTCCGCTGTCGTTTGTGCATGTCGGCGTCGTTGCCGCAGTTGCCACTATTGCGGCGGCTCTTGCTTGTCATGTTCATGTTCATAACTGCAAAGTATTCTTGTTTCTACCCGTGTTCTTATTGTCTAGCTTACCACAAAGGGAATACTCTAAACATGTATGTGCACGGGCTACAAAAGAACACGATGCTGATTAGTCACGTTTTGAAATGACTGGGGTTTGAGTCTTCGCCTAGTTGCTCAATCCACTGGGCTGGAGGCAGGCTTACTTGTCAGTTGTACCCCAAGAAAGTTGAATGAAGGTTACCTGCTCAGTTACAAGGTTAGCTAGTTATGTTTACTGAGTCGGAATATGGATCAATCCAGCAGAAGGCAGTGTTTCTTGTTCCGTAGGCGATAGGTTTTCGGAGTCGTTCAAGCCATTCGTCTTCTCAGCAGAATAGGCCACACATCTCAAGGGGTGCCTGAAAACGCTTAACCCTGAACTCTTCACATCCCTTGCGTGGACTCAGTATGCAAGAAATAAGGCTTAGGGGCTCAATGTCGCCGACTGCTACCGAGGTTGCACCTTCTTAGCTCGGAATTCGAGAGCCTCGGGCTACTGGGTGCTGGGGGCAGTGCACAGCGCTAAAGCGTTCAAGAGTCCTTCCGTGCCCACATGAGGCATGGCAGCAGCACGCTGCCGCAAAGGATCGGTGCTCAGGTGTGTAGGCTTCAGGTTTTCACAACTTTTGCGAATCGGAAAGGGAGTAAGTTCGTTTGCTGTGCAGTTTGATTCGGTTCCTTCTTCCGGAAACCCATCTCAAGCAAAGACTACTTGCCAAGGAGCTCTTTGCTTTAGGGCTCTAAGGACCATGGGAAACAACTCCAACCTCCGCAGAAAGCTTCAAGAGTACGGGGCTTGTTGTCCGACCGGGTGCGTCCACTAACGCCAGTTCCGGCTTGTGGGCTGGTGAGTCGTGCTGCGCAGCTTTTGGCTTCGTTGGGGGGATCATGAGACCTGTCTGGCACTCCTGGAGCCAGCCTGACGAACCGGAAACAGGAGACAGCACGGATCTGATACCATGTCAGGAGAGAATTCGGCAAAGAATAGCACATCGCTTGAGGGTCTCCGGGCTTTCGAGTGGTCTACCAGAGCACCAGGAGCATAACATCATGAAATGCGCTGCTCTATGACCGCAAGACGTCAAGCCCTAGGGCTTCAAACCGACATCGATAATCATTGAATATGATTTCCCAGGTCTGAACCCAAAATACGATACCGCTCCACACCAGGACTGTCTCTGATGCCAAAACACAGGTAGTAGGATCCACTGGAAGATTCACGTAGTCTCTTCAACAGATGCCTACACTAGGGTCGATAGGCATGTTGCAACCGAATAGTGGCAAGAAGGGCATCGTCGGAAAAAGGTTTGCCTGCAAAGAAACCTGCAGTGCCTCAGCTTCATGGACTCCTCGTGGCTTGCAGAGTGTCTGCGCCTGAAGACTAGGCCCTGAACGACCCAAATCCTTAACCCTAGCATATCCCACTTGATATCCTACAGACACTTTTGAAAGTCTCCTTGGCCTCCAAGAAGAGCCTGCAACATAGAGCCACAAGCTACTCAACCCACCAAACCACGCCAGACGGGCAGAAGCCCAGGACCTGCCCGGCCTGGTCAGCCTCGATGACCAGAGCCTTGGCCTGCTGTGATGCTCGGAAGCTTTCTTGCCTCTAAGCGCACCAGGTGAGGGTCTGTAGGAGTTGGGCTTCAGGTCGATCAGATCCCCGAACCTTGACGGTCCGGTGCCCGGTCTAAAAGCACAGACAAACGGTCGAAGCTGCAGCTGAAGCCGTCCTGTGGTTGTGGCCCTGGTGAAGCGGAACGGAAATCACACTTTCGGATCCGTGGAGCCAGTAAATCCTGAACTCTCGCACCTAAATCACGATGTGATCCGAAAACAAGTCAAGGTCCCACCTCCAGCAGTTCGTCGTCTCCTGATACTGGGGCGGGCTCAGGCCTGGGCGCTTATAGAATTTGAGTCCCTGCATCCTGGGCGTGGGTTCTTCTTTTACGTCTCAAACTGACCCTGGCACTAGCAGAGGCAAAGCCGACGTTGCGGAATGGTCCACAGAAACCACCGCCCGGCGCCTCTGGGAAGCCTCAGCCTCAGCCGCCTCCGGGGCTCCAAAAGCAGGCAAGCGCGTGGCCTGCACAAGGCTGCCTCCCCTGCTTCGGTCAAGGGATCTGGGGCTCCGATGCTGGAAAGGTGCTGAAACATGTTCGAGTGGAACTATGACACCGGCACAACCAACTACCAAACATGCGGAGTACCCCTCTCGTGCCCCCCTACAGCAAAACGATGGGCTCAAGGACAGCTGCCTTGACACTTGTGGAGATCAGGGTTTGGGAGGTATCGAACGCTTGGCTTAGCAATCCAGCAGCTGTGGCGTATAAATGCGGAACGGCGCGCTTCTTCCAAGTGTGAACAGGCTCGCCTCGTTGTAGCCGCAACGCTCGTCCGCCATGCCATGGGCGTGTTCTTCCCGAAGGCTACAGTACAGGAAAACGGAGGGTTTTGGGATTCCATGGGTTGATCTTGCTTGGGGATGTAAAACACTTCGCAAATAGATGGCTTAGGACCTGAAGTTCCTGCCTTACGCATCGATTTCTTCCAACACCTTGGAAACTCGTGAAACTTGAACTCGAAGTCTTCAAACCTGTCTCGACCTGCGTCAGAATGACAAAAGTCAAGCTGAGACTTTCGGGGGCACACGTCGAGGCAAATACGGTGGGCATGTATCGATGTGCGCATGCGTGCATGGTGTGTGTGTGTGTGTGTGTGTGTGTGTGTGTGTGTGTGTGTGTGTGTGTGTGTGTGTGTGTGTGTGTGTGTGTGTGTGTGTGTGTGTGTGTGTGTGTGTGTGTGTGTGTGTGTGTGTGTGTGTGTGCGTGCGTGCGTGCGTGCGTGCGTGCGTGCGTGCGTGCGTGCGTGCGCGCTTGTGTGTGTGTGTGTGTGTGCGCTTGTGTGTGTCTGTGTGTGTCTCTGTGTGGTTGTGTGTGCGCGCGTGCATGCACCCGCACGAGTCTGGCCAATACCCCACGAGAATCACCTGCAAGCATACGTACACACATGTACACACAGAAACACATTCATTACATTTTCATTACAAGGTACTACTACATCACAACGCCATACAACACATAACCTGCTGCATCCTGCTGCATTATGATATTGACATTAATGCATACATACCTAGCTAGCTCCCTACATGCATACATCGCACATTTGAAGACATCACATTACATTACACTACACGACGCTTCACTACACTACATGACAGCACGTTGCTGTACGTTACACTACTAAATGGTAAACACGACGTTGCAACCGCACATACAAACATTCAGGCACACAAACGACATGTACGCACGAATACATGCATAGCATACCATAACATAACATACATAGTTACATGCAGAGTAACATAGCATATTTACCTGCATACATATACATACATAGGTGCGTATGTACATGGCGTATATACATGCTACGCGTACAACCATACTCACGCGACATCATTACATCACATACATACACTGCATACATGGCATACAAGCCAAAAAATGCATACGTGCATGTATGCATAAACACATGCACACAGACATACACATGTAAACATTACATTACATTACATTATATTACCATGCATTACGTTAGAACGTGCATATGTACATACATACGTACATACATGCACCCTTACATGCACACACACACACATGCAAACATGAGCAAAGAATACATGTACATGCGCATACACACGAACATACATACAAAGTCATACAAACATACATGCAGACGTGCACACACATTTACCTCCATATATACATGCGCCTACATGCAGGCACACTTGCGTGCGTTTATGCAAACATTCATGCATGCCCTGCCGTGTGTTGCATGGCATTGCTCCATGTTGCTCTGTATCGGATTGCGTTGCATTGCATACATTACACCACATCACATCGCATCATCATGACGTTCCACGTTACATCTCACAGCATGCATATCTGTACATATGTACTTGTACAGTACATTGAAATCTCTCTCTCTCTCTCTGTCTGCCGTGGCAAGCACCAGGCAACGCATGAGGTTCAGCCCTTCAAGCCCCTCATGCAACAGTGAGCAGCCCCTACAAGTCAATGTGCATATACACTTTACATAACAAGCGTGTGTATATATATATATATAGACACACATACAGGAAGATAGATACATAGATAGGATAGGTAGATATACCACTTACACAAGTTTGAGTGTACGTACGTATGTATATGTATGCGTATACATATGTATACATATACACCATATAGTATAGAGAGAGAAAGAACCATCATCTCACCAAGACCTATGCCTGGAAGACCTCATTCTCACATCAACGCACGCGTATATGCACAATATAGTGCAGGCTGCACGGTCTATGCTTGCGGAACGTCTGAGGGTCTGCTTGTGCTCTCATGTTGCTGGACATCACACGATGTTGCATCATGCATGTCAGCGCCGTGCAATACGGTCCATCACTAGGTCCTATGACATCCTGGCCTCGCACATACCGGCAACCGAAGATCTCAGTCCACTGCGAGGGAAAATTAAAAGTTGATGGGCCTCCCAACTTCGAAAAATGTTTGTGTGTGTGCGCGTGTGGGTGGAAGTTGGTAGGTGGTGGGTGGGGGCGGGGAGGGGGGGGCAAAGGGGGCTGCAGGTGGGTTTCGCTGTAACTGGATGTTCACTTCAATAATACTGCTCAAGAACGCCACAAGACGTAAATATTCCTCATGAGGCCTCCTGCTCGGAGTTGAGTCTCAGTTTTATACATTCGACAAGAACACGTGTGCTTTCTGCGGGCCCACGGAAGAAGCCTGATCTCAAAGACTGGCCAAGCCTTAAACGTTTTTACGACACAGAGCATCTTAAACCTTGGCAATAAGATCAATTTATAGAGACCTTGAGACCCACACCCGAGGTGTTTTCTTGCGCCGCAGCAGATGTTGTCGTGAGAAACATTGTGTCTGCAGGGGCTCGCAAGCCAAAACTCCAGAGGTCTGAAAGTGTTCCGCAAGGCTGTTTGGTGTTTGGGATGTTTGGGGTAACCCCAAGCCCTCTCTCCATGTAGCCTCTTTCGTGCCACGATTTCGGATCGGTTTTGAAAAAGTTCTCGGGCCCTGCAGGCAGATCTAGGAGGCTTGCTTGAGGCTGATTGCAGGGTACCTCACCTATAGGGGTCCCGATAAGGGAAATGCGACCCGTGGGATCTATGTCAGGGTGTCTTGTTGCCTGAATAAACTCGCAAGTTGCAACTGTACGATCATGGAATCACAGCTGTGTGGTGCCGTTGTCAGGCTCAGCACTCAAACGAAACCTTACCAGTGGCGTCAATTGTCGTGGCGGCAAGTACTACCCCGATCGTCATCACTACTTTTCAATTATCTTGCTCGGACTAAATAAAACAGCAACCACACCAGCAATACTCGTCGTATGAGTCTGGATCTGATGGTAGGGTTTGGGTGCCGCTAGCCCCCGTGCTCCCTAACTACAAGCTACACGCCTCAGCTCTTCTCTCATGAAACCAGCACGTAGAAGAAGGCATGTGTGTCGGCCATAGTGCATCCTTCTCTGAAGCCCTGATTAATCCACTGATCGATGCCAGTAACACAAAGCTTTCACCGAACATGGAGGGATAGGCTCGGCGGACAGATCCTGGTAGTACAAGTCCAGTTACGGTATGAAAGCAGCGCGGACCCAAGCCACAGAATTGCAGAAACACAACATGCTCAGGATTCTTCGGACCAGGACGCACATGCCACTTCGAACGCGCACAAGCATGAACGGAGGACACACATGGGCTCAGGCGGTGGTACCCAGACTCATCTGGCATCTGCTTTCCCGGGACGTATTCACGAGCTCATGCGTCACGCGAGCGTGTTCATCTTAGCTTCTAGCGCCCATCTCGAAATCTCAAGTCGGGTTGGGACAGATGCAACGCCATGACTGCTGAGACCCGAGCTTGCGATCCTAGAATCCCAGATCCCGAACATGGCGACCTCAGCCTGTACCAGCCGAAACCAGTGTCCCTGGACCTGAACTGGAACGGTAAGGACATGGGAAGGAGCAACCATCCTAAACCAGAAGTCAGCAATGCTGAATTACGGGCTGTACGCCTTGAGCTTTGGTCTTGTAAGGAAGCCTTTGCAATTTTGTAGGCTGGGTACCACCGCACGACATGCCCTTGTGCAACTTCTACTTGGGGTCAACTTGTTTGAGTTCAAGCTCGGGGACCCCATGGTAGGTCTAGGGTATTTTGACACTCGCCCTCGGTCAAGCAAGGCAACTGTCACGACAGTGTCGGGTAAGATCGCTGTTCTGCATCCGTGCAATCCTGGAGCCCTTAACGCCGAAATTTCAATGCTACGCCCTGCGTATATGCACATAAATGGAGTCCTGATAGTTTAGCCTTCGTGGTTTAACTGGGGATCGGACACGAGTTGCAACATTCAGACTGATGGTTCTGAAGATAAAGTGACAAGTACCAAGCAGCCTCAATAAATATTAACCAATAATATCAGTCGCGCATGTCCATTGTCTTGCTGCAGCAGGAACATGTGCAGTGCACGGTGACGAACTTGAGGACACCGACCACAGCATTTTGACATCTCCACTCGGGCTCTTGAATACTGAGTACTCGCCTGGGGACGTTAAGCCTATAAGATCTGCGGCCACTTTGCAAGAAGGTCGCAGGGGTTGCTCCTTCGGCCGATATGATGTTGAGCTTTCGTTCTTGCTAAAAGGCGGTTGTTAAGCTTAGAGATGTGGGACCTAACTTTAGCCCTGAAAATGCCTTATTACTTCCGTAGAGCTGGAGTGTTGAACTTTCTGGGGACGAGGACCCCTCCACAACTGAATGACAGAGCGCCCGCCACCTTATTCATAGCTGCCGTCATTGGCGTTGAGCATTTCCTTAGCTGGCTTCTGCCGGAATGACACAACTCAAGGCTCCTGCCTTCTGGAGATAAATGCCGTGCTGACTTCTGGGAAAGATGATGTGCAATATGGTGACGAAAATGATAGAGACGAACAGGGTCCATGCATGAGGACACCTCATAAAAGACCTTCTGAGAATGAAACAAACGTGCATTTATGCCTGTGCGTGTGTGTATCAGTATGTGCGTACATAAGATCTGCCTAACGTGTCAAAACTTCATCTATCAGAATGATAACCTAGATCGTGCAATGAAGACCATAGCAAAAGTACTAATAGCAATATGCGTGTATGTATATATATATATATATACATATATATATATATATATATATACACATATATGTGTAGGAACGTATACCCAGCTATGTGCGAGTGCCGGTGTATGTATAGAAGACTCAACAATGACAGAAACGACACACAATGGCAGGTCGGCGCTCACAACAACAACAACAACAACAACAACAACAACAACAACAACAACAACAACAACAACAACAACAACAACAACAACAACAAGCACAAGCAAAGGGGGAAAACAAAACAAGCATAATGATCGTAACGAGCAAAACATCAATAAACAAGGCTTTAACGACACATAACGCGAAGTCGTAAACACCTAGCCGACAAACACCTCCAATGCATGAAAGTACAATGTCATAGCATAGGGTAGAGTATAGCAGAAATCAAGACACATGCAATTTTATAGCCTCGAATAATACAGAAGAGCGGCTAACAACACAGTGAACTGCCTAAATATGTAACCAATCTCGATGTGATCATTTAATGGCAACAAACGACAATTAAAGATGCGCAGGTTTGCGTGAGATCATGCAAACTCACATAGTAAGAGTATATACGAAAATGGAGGTATAGGATGTAGCATTACTTAATACCATATAGTACTCTATGATGTGTACGTATATGTGAATATATATATATATGTATATACATAATACAGATGTAAAAACATGTGTATATATATATGTATAGATAGATAGGGCAATGTGTAGCACTATGTAAACATACGTACTAACAACACACTATAGTAAACTATGACCCTAAAGAAAGCTTACAGTACAACAACAGAGTAAAGAAACGCATGTTGACCTAACTATACATGTCTCTCTCTCTCTCTCTCTCTCTCTCTCTCTATATATATGCACATGCACATACTAGCACTTGATGTTAAAAAGAAGCATCTAATCAGCAAATATACATACATGCATTATAAAGGCTTAAACATTTACAGAATGATGCAATGATCGACAATGACGAACGAAACACGAGAAATGCGGATTAACTTCGAAAAACGCGGTAACAATTTAGATTGCCATTGCGGTCAATACCACTATTACTGCACCGTTGTGTTTGCTAAAACGGCCATCATTTCAGCGATTGTACGTATACATGCGTATTCGTGATGATACGCTAACAACACTCATGCCAACATGGCCGTGAATATGGTTGCTAGTATTGCTATGTATGGTGCTACTAAGATAGCTTTAGACTGTTTCAGCACATGTCTTTATGGACATACATCTGTTTGCATATATCTCTCTATATCTATATCTATATATATATATATATACACAGGCAGTACTGTATATGCATTCGCAAAACATCTCTGGATGTAACGGCAGAGACAGCCAGAGATACATGTTCATGTTTTCACATATTGCCATGTTCAGAAAATACTATTGTGTGGCTTTGGTTGGAAATTGCTTCCTGCGACTACGTTTGACAGGTTTAAAGTTCCTCTGCATTACCCAAATATATACGATGCCGTACTGTTGTACAGCAGTACAAACACATCACGGGATGTGCTGGTTGGTTTTATAATTTGGAATGTAAAGCTTTTCCAACGCTCTGCAACGACTGCTAATACTTGTAAGGAGAATGACTTGTCGTATTGCGAAAGTCATACTGTCCCAGCCGCGGCAACAAACCGTAGTCACAAGTACTAGTACCAGAAAAATAAAGTCATAACCCTATCAAATCATCCGAAACTTTTTCGCGAGCATCGGAGAAGCTGAAGTTATCCAGGCCCTCTTCCTGGGGCAGCTCCTGCACGCCCACGGCTTGGGAAGTAGCTGGGCTTGGGTCTTGGGAGCCGGGGATTCCGTAATTAAGGGTTCAGGTCCTAAACTGTCCAATTCCCGAACCCTCCCTCTCTCTCTCTCTCTCGCTCTCTCTCTCTCGCTCTCTCTCTCTCTCTCTCTCTCTCTCCCGGGCATGAGGGCGGGTGAGCGCCCCCGGGCTTCAAGCCCACCCGTCGTATTGACGGACTCGGGGGGTGACGAAAGAACACTGAACATCGCGCACGCTGAAGCATTAGAATATCGACGATATGTAAATACGATGTTCACATGTTCCATAGCAGGACACTCTAAGGCAAATACCATTCCCCCTTGAGGACTTGAACAACGGATGACAGAGTTAGAGGGTTTCCCTGAAGGGGGATGTCCTGGTAAGTGCCAAACTACAGGACTGTCGATGGACCCAGAGACTGCTTTGTTGCAACACAAAATTAACATTACCATGATGTAATCATCTCTCCGCTGTCTCTCTCTCTCTCTCTTTCTCTCCCTCCCTCCCTCCCTCCCTCCCTCCCTCCCTCCCTCCCTCTCTCTGTCTCTCTCTCTCTCTCTCTCTCTCTTTCTCTCTCTCTTTCTCTCTCTCTTTCTCTCTCTCTCTCTCTCTCTCCCTCTCTCTCTTCGTCGCTGCACCCCTGAGCCCGGCACCCTGCAGACCCTCAGATTCTAAATCTGGAAATCCCTCAGCCAGGCTTCTGGCTAAGGCACCGCAATCGGATCCCCCGAATTCTGATTTAACGGCCTATAATGCCGAATTCTCGAACCCTCGGCTCCACATCGCAAAGTCCGAAACCCTGAAGCTCAAACCTGGAGCACATACGCACGATTCAAGTTCCGAGCACGAAAATTAAAATTGCTCCGTAAGTCTTCCGATAGCTGCCTCTGGCTCGTACTGCATCGCATAATCGGATTCGAAGCCTCAGCACGTGAGGCCCGAAAGGGGTCAAGGTTTCCATCAAAGGTGCAAGACTCGAGGGTTGAAGGCATGATGAATTCTGAGCGCGGTTTAGCAGCCGAGGGCATGTCAGTGCCGAGCATCTTTGCGGCACCGGGCTGGCATGCAAAATGCTAGTTGAGATCAGGCCTCGAAACTGAGGGAACCCCGATGCTTGTGTTCACCATCGCCAGAAGCAGGACAAAAAGTTCATCATGATCATCAGGATCATGATCCTTACGACGTTGTGTCAAACGCTGCCACAACAGCAACCATAGTCTTTGTCGTCGTTGCCGCGCCCGTCTACAACGAGATGAACACCAAAGTCAACATGAGCATCGGCATCATCACGCTTACCATCGCTGCTGTAAACACCATGACCCCCGGTATCATGGTAATCGCCATAGTGCCGATGCCCATTCTCACTTGCATGTTCCTCGTCATCACCATACTCATGCCGCTTGTCTTCCTGCTGCTTCTCCAGTCCAGACTATCCTCATCATCATGACGACCACGATGGTCAACATAATCATCCTCACCACCGACACCGTCGTTATCAGCACCCGCTTCCTCAACCTTATCATCACTTCTGAAGAACGTGGAGAGGCACGTAGAAACAATAAAACAATGTCTTTTCGATGCGCACTACCAACAATAATTTCCAATTTGGATACCGTGAACCTAAGCACTCCAAGCACCCTGACTCCTAGCTCTTGAATGCAAAACCTCAGACGAAACTCCTGGACCCAAAACGACAGGCCTGCATCCTCTATGGCAGGCATCTCGCCCATGCCATCTAGCATCCTCGGAAGTGTTGTTGTCGTAAGCTTCAGGGGTTTGGGGTTATGGTGCCGCGTTGAAGGTTGCCCGATCCATTCAAAGGCCCAGGTGTGTAGGTGCAGTGCCTAGGTATTGAAATTGGAATTCGGAAGACCTTCTTGCGTGCGGCTGCGAGGATTTAGCACCTGTTTGACAGACAGTCCGTGTTGCGTCATGCAAAGCATCCACGTTCGCATCTCATACAACGACAACTTGAACCAAAGCCGCCTTGTCATTCTCTCGTTCTATCTCACCCACCTTCGCTCGTGCCTAAATGTTGTCAGTAATTGATTCGTGTATGTCTCTTCGTTCCGTGGGAACTGCAACAAGTATCGCCGGAAGGAGTCCTACCGGACATTTACCACATCTCAGCGACGGAAACTGTCGCAAGACAATAGTCAAAAGTCGAAATAATCAGAAAAGGGTTTGGTGGCTTATACTTTATGTCGATTCAGGAGCCCTGAGAAACAATAGGAACAAGAAAGATGATGCAGGCCTCTTCTAAGCCTCAGCCCAGAAAAACCTCAACCACAAGACCGGCCCAAAACCCCTAATCTCGCTCCAGCTAATCCGCGAAGTCCCACAACCAGACCCTGCATCCGCTTATGATTTGATGGTGCAGTGGTCAGAACTTGTTTTTCCCTCCTACCTAGCAAGGACGAAGCCCGCATTGCAGGGTAACCAGAACTTATGATTTTCGGGCTTCAACGCAAGGTGCAAGGTCGCGGCTCACGGGCCAGGTGCCCTCGATGGTCGATGATTACTATGAAGCTTCGCGAGCGCCAGTGCCGTGCGGCTACTCTGACTGTGGTCTCTAGCAGCAGACAAGCTGAAGTGGCCGAAGAAATCAGGCCTATCCAGTCTCAGTGGGACAATCCTCGAGAGGAGCCAGAACTCCATCTGCCGTATTCCGGTTCCTCGCGCCTTGATCCCCAAACACCGAAATCTTGAGAGCTTCAGAGGCCCTCCGCATTGTCGTTCACACTACATCACATACTGATTGGGGCGGGGAAACCTCTGCAACAATATGCCGACTACGAAACATGACCAAGAGTGATGACAAAAAACACTCCTCATGCGCACTTACTGGTTATGCATCTGCTATGTTGCCAAAATCGCCAATGGTACCAGCACGCCTCGAAAGACATCAACAGCAACAGGATCAATAGCAGATTAGGCACAACGGCCAGCAAGAATACCAACTGCAAGAACAGCGATGACAGGTTGAAAAGTGTAACGATAACTTGGTCTTCAGTGCCGATGGCCACGGTATCTTAAAGCCCGTAGCCTGACAGCCCTCAACCCTGCACCAATATAGTCGTAGGTCAACCTCGGGTTTCTGGGCAGCCCGGCGGTTCTTCGGTCCTTTGCCTCTTCGCCGGGGGCTCCTCAGCGCCCTGCAGTCTTGCTGCTTCAGTTGGCTCAGCTTCTGTTGGGGGCCTAGGGTTTCAGGATTCGGGATTTGCGGTACCAGTTTTTGGTTGAGCTCCTGACTGCCAAGCCTCGGGTTCCAGTGCTTGGCTCCTTGGATTAACTTGTTGGCCTTTTGGCTTCCGCGTGAGCATTGAGACATGACCTCTGTAGACCGGACAAAGATGTTCCTCTCAGTCTGAGGCCAAGCCCCAAACCACCCAACCTTGAACTTGTAGGCTTCACATCCTTCAACCCCGGCCAACGTGCGCCCGGCCGGGTTGGGATCAAGCATGATGTTGATGGCTTGAGGCTGACCTGCAACGCAGCGTCTTCCTTCTTGATGTTTAATGCTGTCTCTATGTGCGGGCGTGTGCTTGCCCTTGCTTTGGTCTTGAAGTTCGAAATCTTCACCTGATTTGCTAGCACAGAACTGTAGGAGTCGTTCGACATTTTTTTGTCGTCACGCACTCAAAAGGTTCAGCTGCATTGCAGGAGTCCTGGCATGATAGAAACCCACCAGCAGCAAGATAACCGCTCATGGCATAGGCTCGGATTCTTGGCGATGACCTGCATGCCCTTAGCCCCCAGCAGCGTGTCGCAACCCCTCACTACCCCAAGTTCTCCTACCTTCCATCCATGTCCTCAACCACAACGTCCACTGACAGTCACTGACACCTGTCACAGCCTCCTCTGGGATCTACTGCTTCGGGCTGCTGCGTTGCCGACTTCAGGCGGCATGCTTCGTTGGTTTTGTATAAGACAAGCATACACGACATGTTGCTCACGTCTGATCTACTTGACTTGTAAACACTTTCGCCTCCAGGCCGGGGTGGGAGGCCTCGGGCAGGTGTAGGCTGTGGATGCTGTGGATTGCATGGCTATGGCGATTACTAAAGTTCAGAACCTTGTCAAATCTTCTACATGCCATTCAGTTCGCGACCCCTGGAAATCGATGTACCCCATACCAAACAACAAAACACCACCACCTGAAAGCCAAACTTATCTCCGAGCCTCGGCTGTTGGTGGCAACCTGCGATTCGGGATTGCTGCAGGCTTTGTGCGAAAACAGCAACAGCTGAGACGACGAACCAGCGAGGATGGACATTGAGTCTTAGCGAATACAGGTGCAGTTCTTAGTTCAGGCTGTGAGTGACGGACTTGTTGGGGCGCGCAACGAAGACCGAGCATTCACCACTCTAGCTACTCTAAGAGTTTGCTTTGGATGTTCTTTTGGTGTTGCACGCTTTGCGTTTACCGCCGACGTCAGTATTGTTCTGAGTATACCTTTGATGTCTAAGTATTACGACCGCTGTTCGCGATTTTGGGTACACACCGAAGGTCTCACACGCCGCACGGCTGCGGCAGGATCCAAGATCGAAGCTTCGAGGTCGGAGCTCAGGATGGACGGACGAAGGCAACAACCACTCAAAGCGGCTCACGACTTGAAACATCGTGGCACTTCGGGAGGCGTTCGGTAGACGGCGCATCGTGAACAACATTGACAACAAGCTACTAAGTGTGCAGCGACAGATATAGCAGAACTGCGCAATCGATCACGACCTGAAACCCTGCAAACAAACCCAATTCCCGGAGGGCCCGGAACTCCAGGCCAAGACGCCTCAAAGGTCACCGGATCACCCACCTGCACTGCCGCTCCAGAACAGCTGATGTGCATGAGGCCAGGGGACTACGCAGTCAGGGGCTGTTTGAGGGCTGTTTTGGGATGATATGATATGTACACTGTAGCGGCAAGGTGCGGCAGCAGTGGTGACCGCATATTGCAAGTCGAAAGTGCGAGGAATTTTACCTCTCTGTTGCAAGGATTTGTTAAGTCTTTGGGAGCTAAAGGCTCTGGGGCGGGCGAACTAAAACGAGAACTTTCCGTTAGCGTCCCAGAATCGTGTTTTCGGTGCTTTCCACTGTGCCAAAGCCAACGTCTCTCGACCTTGATTAAGGAAACCCCTGTGAAGTTGCCTCAGGCCTCTTACAAACAGCAAAAGCAAGCCTTGAGGCCAGCTTCGTTGTATTCTCGGCCATGCACAAAGACCTGGCATTCGTGCCCCTGTTTCTGTTTTGCGGGTTTACGAAAGCATTGCTCGCCGCTCTTGCTGGGGTCTGAAGCGGGGAGCTGTATTGTGGGAGCCCTAAACCCAACTGTTTCGCAGAATGATAATTGCCACAGCATGCGACAGCTCTGGCGAATTCTCTGCTGGAACTTCGTGCTTCATTTCAAGACTCAAGCGCTGATCCATGCACTTCTACCATTGGCCTTGGACCTGTGAAACCCTGTTGAAGAGAACCCGTTCTCCTGTTGCTGTCCCTTAGAGAAACCAGGTTGCTGTAGAAGAAGAAGTGGTAGTAGTAATAGTAGTAGCAGTGGTATTGTAGTCCCTGCCGCAGTATGGTGGTCGTAGTGGAAGTGGTATTGGCATAGCAGTAGTGGCGGTTGCAGTTGGAACTCGAAAAGCCCGCAACTCTGAAACCCGAAAGGCCGGAGCTCTCAAAAACTGAGCTTGGATCTGGAGTACCGCGCATTTTTCGGTTGGATCTTGGTTTTTGATGAGACCCTATTGGAGAACCAGAACTCTTGGTGACTGGTGGCCTGGCAACGATTCCGAAATTGACTGCCCGTCGACCTGCAGCCCACTCAAGGCCTAAGCCCCAAAGCCCCGAATCATCCTAATCATGCTTCCAAAACCCGCAATATTGCGGTCGAGTTGCATCGCTGCCATATTTGCCGTGGACCCTGGTTTGCTGAGAGCTTGGCAGGTTGAAACAAACCACGCCGACAAGAGAGACGAAAAGACTGTGTCGGGATGATGTTCACTGGCTTCGGAGTCGGGGTGGAAGGTTTTAATCAAAGTTCTGAGGTTCACGACATGAGCATTGCAACATTAACCGTAACACCAAGGGCTTTATGACTACAGGGCTTCGACAACACCAGCTGCGGGGAGCGAAGTGATCTGATACTTAAGAAGGCAGCATGAGGCAGCATGAGGCAGGGATCGCAATAGGTTTAAGCCAGGGGGGCACAATTCTTTTTCGCCTCCTCCCTCGGACGCCCTTCGCTTCAATTATACTCGCCTTGCTCGCGTTCGACACCGCCCTCTTTTCTCTGATCCCTGTCCTTCTGTTCGACCACCGCAAACTTTCCTCAAAGCGCCCCCCCTTAACGAAAGGCTTCCATTTCTTTCGAGCGGTTTGCCACCTTTTCTCAACTGCTCCTGTCACTAGCGCCCCACTCCTTCTTCCAGGTGCTCTTTGTACAATCCCCTGCGAGCGGTTTCCTACTTGTTCTCACTCTAATCTAACCACTACAATCCCTTTTGAATTGTTGGTTCTCAGAAGCTCTACTGGCATTTGAGCGGTTCTCTTCTCTGTTCCCTTCCGAGCGGTTTGCCAGGTTCTCCCAGATGCCGTATACTCATTCCAGTCCGTTTCGAGCGCCCTGCTCCTGTTTCTCAGATGCTTCAGCCGAGAAATAGCGGATTGCTCACTTTCCTACTTGCTGAGCAGTTTGCTCGTCATTGCTATGTGATCCAGTCGCGCTCGAGCGGTTTACTCCTTTTGTTGTTCTGTTGAGGTGTTTGCCTTTAACGTGGTTTGCTCCTGTTCTTCAGATGCTCCATTCCTGTCCCATCGGTTTCCATGAGGACTTAGGGAACTGCATAAAGGCCACAGAGGCCTTCGGACTTTAGGACTCTACAAGTAAAGGCATGGGGCTCTGAGTTGCCCCACCGCTGGGGAGGTCGGAGAAGAGAGGACAGGGTCAGTCAGGGAGGAGTTGAGGGGAATCGAAGACCATAGGTACGGGGATAACATGGCGGATGTGCGAGAGGAGGGTCTGAAACGGGAGCGGAAGAGGGGGGCGGGGGGTCAAGAAAACGATCGGGGATCCAAAGCAAGAGGGAGGGTCACAAAAAAAAAGACTGGCCTTTTTGGGGTAATGGATTGTTCCAAATTGCTGAGGGTTGTGATGGTGTACTGTTGGCCCAAGCCCGAGCCCTTGCAGCAAATTCCTGGAATGCTGCCGCTCGCCACACCCTAAACCCTGCACAAGTATACGGCTGACCACATTAGGAAGTTCTTCTGTCAAGGCCTTGAGGTACTCTGGGAGTCTTGGAGCAGCCACTGGAGGTCGAGGAGCGGCCTGTTCTGCAACCAAGGCTCTCTGGTGACGTGATGAAGCCATAGTTGGTTGCCTCAGAAGAAAATCAGTCGAGTCTCTGGCTTGGCTGCACTGACGCTGCATCTACAGTCTACGGCTGGGCGGGCACCCATCCGCAAAGAGACAGTACGCATAGCGGCAGGCGGCAGGTGCATCTACGGCTTCGGGTCTACAGTGCGAGGCTGGGATCTCCGGCTCTTCGACGTGTGCCTACTACACAAGATAGCAGGTTTCACATAGTTAGCCATATATCAAGCTAACTGCGCAGGTAGGCGGTTAGGTCATTCCGTTAGCGTGATGAGCTGCTCGCTGCGGCTGCGACCACACAAACTGCTGGGGCTCCGGATGCGGCCACGCTCATGAGTACTTTGTCCGCGGCGAGGTATTTGTCTGAGGCCGGGACGACATTGAAGGACTTCACCACACCGGTTGCGAACTGCGAGACGACCAGGCTTTGAAATGCACTGGGGTGTGAGTACCTTCATATCCGCCGCCTGCACCCCATCAAAAAACATTGAGAACGTCAAAGGCTCCTGGGTTGGTGGGTTCTGGCTCTGGCATTCCCGAAAAAAACAAAGTGAATAGGCCGCGCTAGCAAAAAGGCGGAGGCTCAAGTGCTCATGCAAACAAAACTTTCCAGGCTGGGAGTTATAGTAGCTGCTAAATCCTACAGCGCAAGTTTCAAACACTCGTGACTGTAAACAAGTTCAACAGGCCCTGCGCACCACCTCCGTTCTGGATTCGGTGGGGTGGCCCATTACTCAAACTCCAAGGCGGGGAGACAACTCGAAATCTCACATCTACACACCAAGTGCCTTGACCTGCTACCACTAGGAGGGCTGCAGGGTTGCTTGAGGGGTTGAGGGCTGGCAAGTACGTTAGATTCAAGCGAAAGCTTTATACCGCCTCTGAGACTCATGCGCCATGGCCGGCTCCGTCGCTTTAAGCTTTGACTGAAAGTTTGCTTGCCGTTCCGATACAAGAAGCAAGGCTCAGGATTGATCTTCACCCTCATCACGCCTCGCCGGTCGATTCCGGCTGGCTGTTCGACCCTGGTCCAGAGATTTTTCCTTGCGGCTGGCAAGCGAGGATGCTGAATTGAAATGCCTGTGACAAAGCCTCTGTGCTAGACATGGTATTCGGTTCAAACCACCTGAGCCCTTTAATGGACCTCGACAAATCCCATGAAACCCCCAAACCTACTACAGCTCACATGAACCCCGCCGAACCCAAAGTCATCCTTCGCATGGGTCTCCGTAATGGGTGTCTGAACAGCATGCATCCCCTTCTTCATCTGCATACGTGCAAACTTGACTGTCAAGCTAGTATCCGAGACCAAGGGTTCTCGAAGCCTTAAAGATTATTTGTGTACCAGAGATGTGAAGGGAAGCACCAGAACGTAAAGGTTCCGGGGCTTCGCATGGCTCTTTTTCCGCCAGGGGCGACAGTGAAAAGCTTAGGGCAAGCAGCTAGCAGTTCAGGGGCTGATGCTTGCCGTTAAGATGGGTGCAGGGTTGCTTCCCCTGGCCCGCAGACGCTTTACCAGCAGCGGTGGCAACACAACTAGCACACGTCCTACTACTCGTATCTGTACCGAGCATGATACCTCTCACTGCATCCCTAATCGCAAGCTGAGCCATCAATTGCAGGGCTCCTGGGCCTAATGAAACTAGTTCAAACAACCCAGTCCTGGTGGCAGCTTCCCTTTGCCTTTGCCCACACCGCCGCCATCGTTTGCCTTGCCCCCCTTGCCTTTGCCGGTGTCAACCTGATCGGCCCAGTGAGTTCCGGTTGCGAGCGGCTTTCACGTGGGCCCTGGAAGCGCACATCGCTCGCTTCGTTTTGATTCTTGACGTTGCTGAGACACTAGCGCTGGGTGTAGGTAAGTTGCCTTCCGGAAACGGTGAAAACAGAGCACAAAGACCTCCAGCCTGAACCTTCCGATGTGGCCAAATCATGCAAAACTAGCTGCTTGAATGAATCAGGGTTGAAGGGGATTCTAAATTATCGGGCAGCGCTTCGAAACTCTGAACCCGACTTTTCGCTGGGCATGGAATAAGGAATAAGGCCGAGTGCCCAAATCCCAGATCTGCCATGTTATGCTAGGGCTAGGGACGTTTCAGACAACAAAAGACCCTGGCGAAGACCCCAAAGAAATCACTGCTGGCAAAACCTAGGCCCATACTTCGAGGGGAAGCCCCGACTATATCCCGGCGTGTGGCATGAAGTAACCACCATGCACCGTCCAACAAAAACAGGGATCATGAAGCTCCTGAACTTAAGCGCAACCAAGAAGTAAGCGGTTCCTCGCCCTTGAGGCGGATATGCTGAAGCTCGAACCCATCCACCATCATCAACCCTTATAGGGTCTTAGGGCCGCTGCCTCGATCATCATGCTCAAGTCGCCCTCGGGAGGCTCCCAGAACTCGTCGCAGAGCTCGAGGCCCTGGCTGAGCCGAGTTTCTGAGATATATATATATATACATATGTATATATATATATATACATATACATATATATATTTTTTTAAATATAGATCCCACAGCAAGGAACCTGTTTTTTTTTGAGGGGGTGCGGGGGGCTCTGTGGATGCCCTCCTCCTCCTCTTCTCGACAGCTTCGGTACTGCCTAAGAAAGGCCCAACCAAGGCCGGGAGATTGTGAGCCCGGATGCGCCCCGGCCGGGGCGTGACAAAGTTAAAGATGCTGCACAGATGAGCATTACAGAGCATTGCGAACTCATACCGTGTCCACACCGATTTGATTGCTGGCAGATGTGGCTCCTTTGCTGCGGGTCATGCGGGCCCAGGTTAAACTGCAGAGGCCTCTCTATGTGGCACCCCGTTGCAGGCACGTTGATCTTCATGATGCAGGTTTGGGGTATGTAGCAGCAGATACCTGCAAATGGATCGACTTTCATCTGATTTTCGTACTTTCTGAAGTGCTGGATACTGTACGTATGGCAACCCGTGCTGGTAACCCCTATGCAGCATTACGCAGCCTCTGGAGTGCTGATTCAGCTGCTTTCCTTGTAAAGCTTCGGAGGTTTATTGGCGGAGGTTAAGGCGGTGCTGGTGCTCGCTTCTTGGGGCTCTGTAGGTCCCCAGTCTCGAGGAAGCACGTCAAACCCACCCTCCGTCTCTGTTTTCAGTGGCAGGACCGTCGTGCTGTACAGTGTCGGACACAACCTACATGAAAGCCATGTCCAACCTTCGGTCGAGTGGCTTCAGCATCTGGAGCACGGTGGGTTCAGATTCAGAAGTAGGGCTGTAAGTTTAAGATGCCGGCGCTTACAAGAAGGATCGCGCACCACAACCCTCGGTAACTGCCTTCGGCGTTGACCACTGCAGATTCCGTCCTATACTCAGTACATGCCCATGAAGCGGTTCTGCAATGTTTCCAAGCGAGGTAGCACATTCCAACTTAAAACTCATATGAAACCACGCATGCCCCAAGCTTATCGCTTGAAACCCTCTCTCACTGTTGCATCGGTTGGCACATCGTCGGCGCAACGCCCGTCAGGCAACACGATCTTCCAGGCAGAAATGCCGTCTACCTCTGTGCGGCCGTAGAAAGACTGACTGGCAGCTTCTCAGCATCCCAGATTGCCCCCCGAGAGTCCCGGAAGAAATGTAAACAGTTCAAAGTTTTGGAAGTCGATCGTTGATATTTAAAGCGCTTACGTTATGGTGTAGAGGTCCTTCTTCTGCAAACAGACCCTTGCATGTCTTCGGATTATCTGGATGTTGGGCTGCAGCTCTGCAATACGCTTTAGCACATGACGAGATCACACATTCGAGATTCATGTCACAGGTGAACCTGTGCGTGTCTAGACTTTTCAGGCACGGTAAGCTCCACGCCAAGATTTGATCCATTAAATCATAGAATTTGCGAAACAATCGGCTAGTGGCATTCACGCCAGAATTGCGCGAAAGTCGAAACTTAAGAGCCAGTGGTTAGAAGTCAATTTGCTTTTGACTGGCCTCTGCTTTAGAGGCTCGCAGTCCTGGCACACACACACACTGCCGTATATTGTTTTCTAGCTGGAACATGCTGGAACTCCCTCTTCCGAGCCTGAACGGCTGGCCTTTGAACCCATGGCCAAAAACGCCGCAACCCGAGGAAATCTAAGCCCGGAGCTCTGGGAATCTGCTCGCAAATCTGTCGGTCCTCGACTTTGGGAAGGCCGCTTCTTCATGATTCATACGTTCCATCGGCAATTTGGTCCCACTCATCAAGTCTCCATGTACTTCGAAAATCGTTGCAAGATATCATGCATGCGAGGATCCAGGCAGGCAGCCCAAACTTGGGGATCCCAAAGGCCCCACCTGCCCGGAACGCTGCTGGCCTTCAATGCAATACCTTTGCTCGAAATTCAGAAACACAACACGCCGCCTCCCTGTGCTGCAGCCGAGGAGTCCAGATCTCGAAAGGTGCTTTCTCCATCCGTTTGGATCTGTAGTAGCTCCTTCCATGAAGGCTTCTTCTCGCCGTGTTTGGGCTATGATACTACCTGATCACACGCTAGAACCCAATACTTACACCCTACCAAAGTGCCAAAGCTCAGAAACGGCGAGGGGGTCCTGTTGAACTTTGGGTAGGGTTTGTGGCTAAGGGCCAAGTACAGTATGTGCTTGACCTGCTTGGTTTCTCCAACCATATGCGTGATTTGCCACTAGTTCAGATATATAGATCACTGCTTACATACAAGATCTACATTATAAGTATGCTGCTGTTTTGAAACGTGGTGGTTTCTTACAGTGTCTTGCCCACGTACAGGCTAACATTCCGGAGCGACAAGTATTACAGCAACAGTGATCTTTACCATCAGGGAATCAGGTATTTCGATCTACTCTGGTTTCGGAAGATATTTATCAGAGTCAGGATGGTGTGGTTGCGACATTTCGTGCTAAGCGTGTTTGGATTGTTGTGTCGTGGATGCACAAAGGACCTCTAACAACCTCGTCTTTGATTCTGTTGTCAAGCGATTCTGTCGCCATTCCTTAACGGGTTGAGGATGATAGGCTTTGTGCTCTTTGTGCTGCTCGCTGAGTTTGCATCTGTCGTTGATGATATCTCTGTGCATTTTCTCTACACGCGTGGCAACTCTCAATACATGTAAGTATGATTTTTTGAGTGTATACTGTGCCCACTATCTCAGCACTGAGAAAAAGTCAAGGAAACATAAGCATAATAATAAATGTGCTTACCAGCGCAATACCAACGCTTGAAACAACAAATGTATGTGATTTGTTTGAACGATAACATATTCTCGCCAAAACCACATCTGGTTCACTATATTATGGTCCAACATCAGCCAATATCGCATATACTGCTACTGGCATCAGTGCTGCTATATCCAGTGTGAAACGCATTCCGGTTCATAAGACATGACTATGAACGAGCACTGGTTCCCTAAGATTTACCAGAAGGAATGAAGAATTAAAATCAATTTCCGCACTCTTATGATGAACCTATGGAACATTTTGGGGGGCTCTTGCTTCTGTTTCAAATTGGGCTATTTCTCGAAATGGCCTGTCATAACAAGCTAGATACTTTTCAATCCATATTGTTCATTCGCTGGAAGCTTCAGGGTTGATTTTACCTGCTTCTCCAACTTCTCAATTCTGTCACTCGCTTCATCTGGTGCTATATTTTCCCCGTTTGTCACATGCCGTGTCCGCTACTGCTACATCTCCTGATTGAATAGCCGTCTAGTTTGTCGTCAACATGTTCTGTCCATCCGGGGGAAAACCCCGGTCCATGCGAAAGCTACTACAAGTACGATCCTTCGGAATGCGACCACCACCTCATCATCTTCAGTGGTTGCTGTCACGGCTGCAATTGGCAGAACCTTCTGGGTGCGCCTAGGGCGCTGCTTCCTCCCGAGTCATGACTGAAGGGATTCAGAGACACGTGATGGCAGCGTATTGCGTCTCGAGGGCGAGCTGTGCACTAACACTACAACCGTTTTCTTTAGTTCCCACATAGTCAATTCCCACATAGTCAAGAACCCCATAATAGCGTGTACCACACCATTGGGGAAAACCCTGAACCCAACTCCAACACCGTAAGCGGCGCATTCCGGTCGAACTCGTGAAGGTCTCCTCCCCCGCGAGGTTGGAGCAAACGATCCGAAGCAAGTCGCCCTCCTTGGATGTGATCTAGGGTCGCAGGGGTCAAGGCATTTATGGATTGGAACTATGTCTCAGGTTTCGCCGGGTAGGCGGGGGAATTGGGGCTGATAAAGGCGATGCGCGCTTTCGCAGGGACTGGCACCTACCTTGAGTTTTGCGCTAGAACTCTGTCTGCTCCTCACAGATGTATAGAGGCTAATCTCTGTCTGCCCAACCAAGCGCCATGGGATCCTGCAGCATAAACCCCTAACGCAGTACCAAAGTAGGGATGGGAAACTTATGGGCCCTTCTAATTTCGACCATATTCTGGCACTCGAGTAAGGTGGGTCCAAAAGCAACATGTAGTCGGCGGATGTGACGCGAGCATCGAGGTCATCACAATCTAGTAGGGGTTCTTTCACTCATGTGCTCTGCACAGCAGGTCCGTTGCGAATGTGGACGGTATGAGAAGTTCGAGACTGCATGCTCGTGACACGAAAACTGCGAACGTTGACACCATCATGCGTGCTCTTCATGTGGGATGCAGTGGAAGCAGCGAACGACTGCAAACACTGGGCCCGAAGCCTCGCACTTGTCAACCCAGGCTCAACAGCATAAACATCAATATCAAGGTGGCCATGGTTATCATCACAATCACCATCACCACCATGCACATCATCATCATACCCATCAGCATCATAGTCATAATCGTCATCATCGTCATCCCCATCATCGTCAACGTCATCGCCAGAAAGGGCGTTGAGAGAGCAAGAGCCAAAACTTAGAGCCTTGGGCTTCGGGAGCCGTACAACCTTGGGCCTCTGCGCATCATCTGCCATGTCTCCAGGTCATCCGCGACAACGCAAAGCGGGGCGACTCCCCGGTCATGGAAAAAGAGACGGCGCGCCTTCACGGGAATGGTGTCTTGTGACGGACTCCATATGTCGAACTGAAACACATTGAAGCTTGCGTGGTCACTCAAGAAGTGCAAACAAACGGAGTGCGGGCGAGGGGGGGGAGCGCGGAACTCTCAGCCGTTTTGAGACTCCGGCCCCAGGAAGCTTCTCAAGACAATTCAACACTAACTTTTACTTCAACGTAACCTTGTTCCACCCAGCTCTCATCGCTGGGCGCTAGCAGCTGCTAAGTCTGATATCCCACCCTGCAGCTGTTCTTCTCATGCCCGGACAGTGGCTTCCCTGCCTGCATTCCCGGCGCATTGTGCACACAAGCCGCACCCTTCAACATCCCGGTCTTGATACCCAAGAAATCGACGCTCAGAAGTCTTGGCCCATGGGCTCGCAGGCTCCATACGTCACCAACAGTTCCTCCACTAGCTCAAAACCAAGCCCCCCGAATGACCTGTGCACTCCAATAAGCATCTTGTACCAGTTATGATGATGTACTGTTGGAGAAGGCGATGAGGAAATTACCGGAGTAGACGGCTTCTTGTTCATCATCTTTGTCGTCCTCCTCCTCATCGTCGTCATCATCATCGTAACCAGCTTGCGGGGGTGGTCGCTTCCCAGAAACATCAGGACAAGGACAAGTACATGCACAAGAAACACAAGCAAGAACCGCAGGAACCAACAACACACGCAACTCTGGTTGAAATTGAAATCGTTGCACGTTGGGCACCTTATCGTACAAACGCAGTGGTCTACGATGCCCAAATGAGGGAGCAAACCCTCTGCGAAGCCCCCCCGTGAACGCTGCGGACCCTACCCAGGCCGTAGACCCTAAAACATCCTGATACCAAACCCTTTTATAAGACCCGCCTACAAGTAAGAAGACACACCCACCAGGCCCACTGACTTGAGGCCTCTTTCGAGAAGCCGAAAGATGGAAACGCTAACATATCTTGGCGCTCGCCAAAGCCCCAGCACACCCAGGCCCCCTTGCCCCGACCCAACCCAGAACTGTTGGCTCTCAGCTCTAAGCTTTTCTTCCCCAACAAGCGCACCATAAGCCTGAAAGACTTGTCTTCAAACTCCAAACATGAAACGGCAACAGCACTCCCCAATCGAATAACACTTTTTTCAGGAAGAACAAACCTAAAAGCTTTTCTAACGAAGTCCAATCTGAATGTCTTGGATGCAAGAACTGCGCACAATTGCCAGAAGACGTTTTTCAATACTGGCACATGTCATGTCAGAAGCGACAACAAAAGTACCTGCTCAACACACTGACCTGACATGATCTTTCCAAGCTTCCTATAGAATTTCCTTGTATACCGCCCTGGAGCTTGGTCGGCTGCCGCCGGGTGCGTACATGATCTTCCCGGTAAACCGTTGTACTGCAAGCTGATCTAAAACATGGCTCAATCTAATTGGCTTCGCAAGAAGATTCAGACCGAGAGCCGGAGAGAACCGCAATGCCATATCCCAATACCAAGCAAAGCGCGCATGCTAGGTGCGACTGAACGCATGCGAAACGACTCGCAAAGGTAGAGGTGAACAACAGGGAACTACTAGTAGCAACAGTTCTTGGTGGGGAACCGATGCGGCTGATGAGATTTGCGGCACCATGATAGGAACGATCCGTCTATTCAACCCTTTTTTGCAACTTCTCGATTCGACCCTAAGCCCCAAACTTTTAGAGCTGAAAGTCTCTGTAGGATATGGTAATCCTGAACCCAAGCCGTAAGCATGAAAATGAAATCAGACCCGCTAAACCCTAAACCTCAACCCTTAAGGTTTTGTAGTCACAGCGATGGATTCGTAGACCTCTCCCCACGCGACCTTGGAAAGCCAGGCCGTCGGATTGTGCGCGTATTGCGAAGAGACTTCGTCGTCGTAGCTGCAGAAGCACATCTCCTGCTCCAGTACGCGTATAGGCTGTAATTAGAGGGTTTAGACGATGGGCTGAGGGTCTCAGATTGGCGGGCCAGCTTCTTGCCGCGTCATTTTGGGGCTTGATGTCAGTCTCATCAGGCGTCAGCAACAAATGGCGTCATCCTTTGCCATGCCCAGTACCATCACAATCATAGCAGTCCTGGTAGTCGTCAGCACTATCAAGCGACATCGCCATAGTCACAGGCAACCCGGCTTCTATCAAGCTGACACCCTCAACTTCGATTCCAGTAGAAACCTTCAGGAAGAGCTTGCAACGATGTAGTAGTGAGCTGCTTGGACACATCGGCCTAGGCCTAGGTTTCCAGCCTCTTATTGAGTTGAGAGCTTCCAGCTTGGAGAAGGACCCGGCAATCTCAGTCCACGAGGACTCCAAAAGCTGAGATCACGGCAAATCATAGCTCCCAAAAAAGACCCGATATCTGTTGACCCATTAGAGACCACTTCCCCTTCCGGCCAGGGCACTTCCGTCCCGTCGCGCGGCACCGGCTTCTGGCCGTCTTTTGGGTCCTCCACGGCGATGCGCAGGAACGCCAAACAGTGCGCGAACGACCTGCCTGAGCGGAGCTGGGAGGGTGTTTAGTGATATCCGATGTAAAAGCCAAACCCACACACCCCATACTCGCTTCCTTCGAACCCCAGTGTGTGCTACCAGGATCTCCCAGAGCCAACTGCCCATCCTGTATCCCAACAGCTTTGCAGGATCCCGAGCCTCTGAGCGGGACGACTAGGACCCGAGAGTGTCGTGGTGGAGAGCAGGGCTCGCACAAGGCAGGCAGGATTCACAGTTCGGGTAACAGTAACACTGAGCAATCATGAATTCGGAACCTAAGTTTTGGATCTGGGTTCTCAGATAAGCCTGGCACGCTCACAAAAGCAGCAAGGGTGCTCGGACTCCAAACATCCCGGATGCCACAAGAGCAGGCGCCGCCTCCTGCCTGCTAGGACTGCTAGGAGCTGATTGGCCCGCTGTTGGTCTTCGAGCAAAGCTACTGGTGCTTCGGATTTGGGTGATTTCAAGGTGGCGCAAGGCCCTCGCTTCTCTCCTCAAGTCCACGATTGGGTTCTTTCCGCAGATATCGATTCCATGACAAAAGTGATCGCACGTGCTTACATTCAGGGTTGCGACTAACCAGTGCCTTCAACAAAGTTGCGGGCGTTATCCCACCCGAAGGACAGCTTGAAACTTCAACTCGCACATGTGCCAATTGAAACCTTAGAATAAGTCCTGACTGGAAGCTGCCCAAAAGGCCAAACCATGCCAAACTCACACACAGTGCTTGATGGATCACACCACCGAAACGCCGAATGTGCGCCAGATGGCAGCTGAGCATGTTCAAACACACCGCAACACCCGATCAAATCCCCAAACATCATCAGCCCACCCCGTTTTTGCACCCTCCGGAACGTGAACCCTTGAACCCCTGCCTGCCCACCCCGAACCCCTGACGTGGCCCCAGAACTCTGTCGTGGCCGAGGGTCGTTCAGCAATGGATGGTGAACCACGGCCTCTGCACTGCACCCCAGCACTAGGTCGTGACAGTTCCACCATTCCTGAGATAGGCTTCAGGGTGCGAGATTCAGAGGTTGGTGGTGCGGGATGATGGAAATCTTGAGGTTTTGCTTCAATGTCCTCTACTGAATGAGCAAGGGCCAGCGATTCAGGGCTTCAACTTCAGAGTGCTGGTTGAAACCTGTACGAGGTTCAGACAATGAAGCACCCCGATTTTAAACCACAGGAAGTAGACTCCGGATTGCCCTGACCTGTCCGTGAATTCTGAGAGGCCGGATTACGGGGCCTATAGGCAGAAGTGGAATTGAAAAATCTGGTCCTGGGATGAAAACTTTATTCAGGGCGAGCGGGTTATCTACAGCAGCTCCTGCTGCTACTACCACCTGCATCATGTCCACTAGCAACGTCGACTAAGTATTGTTGCCACCACTACTACCTCTGCCTCTGATGCGACGAAGATACGACGATGCTAGGACAGCTCAACCAATAAAACTGAAAAACGAAAAACCTAGCTAGCACCCTGAATCGTCAACCCTGAGGCCCTACAATACCACGAAGAAGCACCGAAAACAGAAAAGCCGAAAAAAGAGCGTCTCTGTCGACCGACTCCTCTGGCCCTCCTGACCGCTCCTCTTCGTCCTCTTCGTCCGATCCGTCCCTTCGGAAGCAAATTTTCAGCTCCTGGAGACTTCCCAAAGTCGCGAAAACATTCCGAATCATATGCCGTACTAAAATTAAACCGCACATTGCCTGTCAACGTTGAGCATTTTGGGGATGGATTTAGTCCTCGGCGGTCTTCTGCGCGACCCTGCCCTTCAAGCGTCGGCCATCTTGACTGCTGGCCGGGATGAGGAAAATCCACCAACCCACCTCAACCTTGATCGGCATAGGGTTTCAGTACGGACATTCGGTTGACGGGGTTCGCAGGAATATTACTTGATCAGGCGTGCAACGAGCCGAACCCGACCGAAAGCCGCAACCATCACATGCAGGTGTAAGCTGAAGGTGGGAAGGCCTTACAGAGTCTTCCAAGCTGCTTGTAATACTCAAAAACAACTGCAAGATTCACCTTTCTTGAGCACTTTTCTTCACGCCTTTGCCGCCGCGAAAGATGTGTCGTTCGATTTGTATTTAAAAATTTTGTTCAAGTTGCAAAAAAACTTCGAGTGTTTTTGGTTTTCGTGGATTTGACGACGGTTTGATCATCTTGTTTTCCGTGTCTTCTGTTCCTTGTTGTTTAGTTGGTGTGTGTCTGTTTCTGTGTGTGTGTCTGTTTCTGCGCGTGTGTCTGTGCGTCTGTCTGCGCGTGTGTCTGTGCGGGTGTCTGTGCGTGCGTCTGTGCGTGTGTCTGTGTGTCTGTGTGTCTGTCTGTCTGTCTGTCTGCCTGCCTGCCTGGCTGGCTGTCACTGTGTGTGTTCTGGAAAGTGCCTTAGTGCTTCTTCTTTAGTGGAAAATTAGTGGGATTCTACTGGGAGTTTGCCGGGAGTTTGGGAATTCAGTGGGAAGAACCCGAAAAGGGGGAATTGAGTGGGAATGGTGACTGATTATCGTGGATCACAACAGAAGGAGTGAGCCGCCGACTAGAGGGTTGGAGAAGCACTGGTCAAACCGCTCGAAAAGAACTAGAGTGCTTGAGAGACAGAGAGCAGACAGCCCGAAAGGAAATAAACTGTTCGAGAATCCATAAGCACACTGCTCAACAAAGACTAGAAAGTGTTGTAAACAGTGAGAGAACCTCCTGCAAGGGACCAAGGTAGAGGGAGTAAACCGCTCCAAAGAGACTAGAGTGTTCGTGAGAAAATAAGCAAACCGCTTGAAAGGGAAAAGAATTTTTGAGAAGCAACAAGCGAACCGCTCGACAAGGAACGCGGAGCAAACCGCCCGAAAGGAACTAGAATATTTGAGAAACAACCAGCAAATCGTTCGAAAGGAACTCCAGTATTTGAGAAACAGCAAGCAAACCACTCGAAAAGGAAAGGGGTGTTCGGGAAACAGCGAGCAAACCACCCGAAAGGGACCGCAGAAATTGAGACCCAGAGCAACCCGCTCGAAGGGGTCTAGAATATGTGAGAAGCACTGAGCAAACCGCTCGAAAGAGCTTGGAATGGCTTGGAGCGTTTGAGAAACAAACAGCAAACAGCCCGAAAAAGACTGGAGTGTTACAGAAACCATAATAAGCAAACCGCTCGGAAAGGTGTGAACAGTTGAGAACCAAAAAAACAAACCGCGCAAAAGGGATGCTGCCATTAAGACACAAGCAGCAAGCCGCTCGAAGGGGACTAGAGTGTCTGAGAAGCACTGAGCATACCGCTCGAAAAAACTAGAGTACGTGACAAACAAGGGGCAAAACTGGCGTGTTTGAGAATCAGAGAGTACAGCGCCCAAGACTTAGAGTATTTGAGAAACAAGCAAACTGCTCGAAAAGACTATTGGAGAAACAAAGAGCAAGCTAAACACGGAGCGAACCGTTCGAAAGGGACGTCAGTGTTGAGAAACAGTGAGCAAACTTCTCGAAAGGAACTAGGGTACAAAGAGCAAACCGAGCAACATGGACTGTTGTAATTGAGACACAGGGTGCAAGCCGCTCGAAAGGACAGGGCGCAAGCGGCTCGAAAGGAGACTAGAGTATTCGAGACACAGGGAGCCAATCGCTCGAAAGGGGCTAGAATCATTGAGAAACTCGAGCAAGCTGCTCGCAAGGGGCTGTAATACGTGAGACACGGAGAGCAACCCGCTCGAAAGCGACTGCAGTATTTGAGGAACAACATGCAATCCGCGTGAAAGAGACTAAAGAATTTGAGAAACAGCCAATAAGGACTATAGAGCTCTTGAAAACGAGTTCTTGACAACAAAAAGCAATCTGCTCGTAAAACACAAAAAAGTTTAGGCAACAGCGAGAAAGCCGCTCGAAAGGAACTAAGTTGCTTGACCATTCCTGCACCGAGAATGGAACGGCGCCAGGCCCTCGTTTTCAGCGAACGACCGCTGATGATCCAAAATCGCATTGCTTGTCAATTCGGCCTCTCGGAGACTTAAAAGGTCTGCTGCTTTCAAACCCATCTGGTTCAAACACGGTTGGAGTCTGAGAATTACAGCCAAAAGCTCTGTCGAGTGTCGTTCAGCATGTGGCCATCTGATAAGCCAGGGATCGTCCATTCCATGAGAGCGGTGTCCTCTTGATACAGCAGGTATCGCGAACACGAAACCCTCCAGCAAGCTCGATGGACAACTGTATTTTAGAACGAGCCTGTGCCCCGAATCCGAATTACCAGATGACTACACCGCCCACGCTAGGCCAACAAGCCCGGTCTTGATGCTGAAACGCCCGCAGCCCAGATGCATCGCCTCGAAGTGCGGTTTGAGCCTCGATCCAGACGGACCTCCCGAGATGATGTCCGTTGTGGCCGTCCGCTGAACCTCGTCGAAGCTGGAGGTCTCGTACTTGGCTTGCCCTGTAGCACAAGTGCGGTTGTCCTTGCTGAGGTCGTCCAAAACCCTATGCCCCAAACCAATCCCTAAAACCCGAAAGCGCTGAACCTTAAACCCTAAACCCTAAAGCCCTGGTCCTTTCGGATGCGTTTTGGCCGTTTTAACACCAATACAATCCTAGCCCCCCTGATGTCTTTGATTAAGTTTCAACTGTGGGCCCGAAACCGCTCGGAAGGGACCAGAGTACTTGAGAAGCAATGAGCAAACCGCTCGACAGGAACTTAGGGTATCTGACAAACAAGGAGCAAACCGCTCGAGAAGGAGTAGAGTATTTGAGGAAAAGGAGCAAACCGCTCGAAGGGGATGGTGAGAAATCTACCAGAAAGGGATCAAGGTAAACGGGGCAAACCGTGCCAAACAGACGAGAGTTTTTGAGAAACAGGCAGCAACCCGCTCGAAAGTGACTAGAGTGTTTGAGAAACAGAGAGCAGACAGCCCGAAAAGGAACGCGGAGCAAACCGCCCCAAAAGGACTGCAGTTTTTAAGACGCAGGGGGAGCAAACCGCTCGAGACGGACAAGCGTGTCTGAGAAACATGGAGCAAACCGCTCGAAAAGGACTGGGGTGTTTGAGAAACAATTCTAAGCAAACTCCTTTGAAAGGATTCGAGTACATGAGAAACGACAAAAGTGTTTGAGAAACATGGGACACAGAAGCAAAGCGCTCGCAAAGGACAAAAGAAACAAGGAGCAAACCGCGCGAAAGGAATTGCAGTCATTGATACACAGGGAGCAAACCGCTCGAAAGGGACTGCAGTAATTGAGACGCAGGGAGCAATCTGTTCACAAGGGACTGGAGATTGTGAGAAACATGGAGCAAACCGGTGGATAGGAACAAGAGTATTTTAGAAACAAGGAGCAAACCGCTCGGAAAGGACCTGAGTATATAAGTCCTGCGACTATATGAGACACAGAGGGCGCACCGCTCGAAAGACACAACATCATTTGAGAAGCAAACCGACCAAAAAAGGACAGCAATAATTGAGGCCGCCAGGTCGTGAGGCCGCGATGCCGCGAAGTCGTGAGGCCGCAGACGCGAGGTCCAGTGGCCGCGACCCATCTGAGGTCGGTTGGTGAAGGGCCGAGAGGTCGCAAGGTCATGAGGTTAGGCGAGGGTACCCAATCCCGTAATCTCAATGTCAGGTCTGATCTCACCCCTGCACCGAAGCAAAAAGAAAAAAACACATGAACTCCGAAGCGGAGCAAGCTTGGATCACTGCAAATACCGATAAAAGAGGCATGCGAATGTGCAAAAACCTCGGGTCTTTTACTGCACAAATTATAATAATTACAATTCGAAATTAGGCGGGTGACGTCGCGGATAATTTCCCGTAGCGGTCGCTATTTAATTTCAAATTCGAAATTAGCGGGCTTGGGGCTGTGTGGCTAATAAGAGGAGCAGCAGAAGTTGCAGAAGTGGCAAGTCGTCAAGTAAAAGCAGCAGCAGTCGTCCGTCGCCGTAGAAGTAACAGTAGTAGTAGTACTAGCAGAAGAAGTAGTGGTAGTAGTAGTAGTAGTAGCAGTAGTAGCAGCAGTAGCACTATTAGCTCCAGCAGCAGTAGAAGTCGCAGAAGCAGCAGTCGCAGCCTCGTAGCAGCAGTCGTAGCAGTAGTAGTCGTAGTAGCAGCAGTAGAAGTGGTGGTGGTGGTGGTGGTGGTGGTGGTGGTGGTGGTGGTGGTGGTAGTAGTCGTTGTGGGAGTAGAAGCAGAAGGACTGTTTTTTTTTGCTTTTTTTGTTGCGAGCTCAGATTCCCAAGCTGTCTGTCCCCGTGCAGTCAATTTGGACTGACACTCAAGACAGCAATGTCAGGGATCCGGCAGTCCATCTTTCTTTTTTTTCTTAGGCGGAGACAACTCCGCATAAATCTCGGAAAGCTGCACATTGTCAGCTGCCACCATCTGTACAGAAGCATCCCCACTTCGCACAAGAAGTCTGGCCTTGTTGGACTGTGTGAGCTGAGCGACACGCTTCTTGCGTTTGTAGTTTGGCCGAGGCTTCCCCTTGTCGCTCCTTGGAGCACGCCTCCGGCGCAAAGCCGTCCGTCGCTCTGTGGCGCTGAACCTGCCCAGGACCCGTTTGATGAAGCCGCTGGCCCTGGCTTCCTTGACAGGCCTTGCGCATGCCCCGATCAACAACTGTTGTTGCAAGAGTGGCGCCGTGGAATCGCATCCCAAGTGCTTCCTTTGGCTGCAATAAAAGCACTATCTGGATCAGAAAGGGTCTTTTAATGGGGAGTGCGAAAAGAGCACTATCTGGATCAGATAGGGTGTTCTTTAGGACTGTCACAAACATGTCCGCCAAGCGGCTTGTACTCCTCGACAGTTGCGAAAGCGCGCTCACATGCAGCACTCTAAAAAAACGATACGCAAGGCAACCTGCATTTTTTGTCCAAGCTGCGATGTGCGCAAACTTAGGTTTTGGCACAGTGCAACCCCGAAATCGCTGCACCCTTCGCGGCTGGGAGAGCACCTATTTTCACCTTGTCTCCATGCTCACATCAGCAGAGTTTGAAATAAGCATTAACAACATCAAGAAGCAGGTTGTCAAAGTGCTAATCCGGTGAAGATAGTGTTTGCAGTGGTGGCGTTGTGTTGCAGCTGATTTCATTGTCGCGGTGGCGCCTGCGCAGTGTTCTGGCCTATGACTACACGACCCAATGAATTCAGTAGCACCCCACCTCGTCCCAGGTGACCGGGAAACCGACAAAGCGCGCAGAACTGTCGAACTTCGGCGGCTGGAATGGGTAGGCACTCCTCTTGGTACACTTCTCGATTTGTGGCTTCCGACAGATTCTCTCTTTAGGCCTGATTTCTGCTTCTTTGCTTAGTCGTAATGTATGTGTAGAGGCTCGGGTCAGACATGACAGCACGCCATCGAAAGTCCCTACAACGGTGAGTCTCCAGATGAAGAGAGGCTTGCGGGTTACAGCATGCAGCGTTCAGGATCTGGAGGGAATCCTGAGCCTGAGCCCTCAACCCTGAACCTAAAACGCGAGAGCCTCCACCAAATCGAGGGCACTCTCGGGGAGTCCCATCCCGCGAACGCACGACCCTATGTCTTGTAGGATTGCTTGCGCGGCATGCAGGGCCATGTAGGGGATGTAACTATCAGGGGTTTTTTGTTCGAGGCTTGTGGCAGTCCAGAAAGCACTCCCGGAAAGCCTGACAAATTCAGTCCACTCCAAAGGACAGGTAGTTCAAACACTCCAACCACCTCGCGCGCGGAACCCAAGCTGCAAACTCCATCTCCAGCCAGGCGACGGATATCGCAGCCAGTAGACCAAATGAGCCCCCTGTAAAGGCCCCTGCCTGAGAGCTCGACCCCAAGAGTGCAGATGGTTCAGGGTTTTGTGTTGGTTTCCTGCCCAATTCGCTTCAAGTCGCGAGGGGCGAAGCTCGGCTTCCCAGCAATACCAATCGTTGCTCGGATGCACCGTCCTTCGGAGCACCAAGTCGCTGTGCTACTTGTAAAGCACGATGCTGCAGAGAGAGTGTCCGGGTGCAGAGTTAGATTCAAGGACAGGGAATTGTGAGAACTCGACGAGCCTTGGATCTGGGGATAGCATCGTTTCAAGGGTCTGCCGACACAAGGAAAGGACTAGTGGAGCAATCATAAGGGCATTCCACAGGACCGGAAGCTGTTGGATGCACATCGCGAAGTCTTGGTCGCACCGACCTTATGTCATGTGCATGTCTTGTGTGTTTGCAGCATAAGCCCTTCCCAGCCGCAACCCCCGGCCGCCCCTCAACCCTACTCTATGCTCTGTTCAGGCTGGCTTATAAAAGCCACGAGGACGAAAGCACACAAAGGTCACAACAGTCTTGCAAAGGTGCTCGACAAAAAGGTAAGGGGTTCCGGTAGCTTCCGATGGGACGCAGGGACGCTTAAGACCCGAAAACAGGCCCCTACACCTCGAACACTTTCGAGCGGTCCAGAACTCGCGCTCCCCCTGCATGATGGGCTCGCTGAGCTTGCCCACCATGCTGGGATTCCTGAACTTTCTGAAAAGGTTCGGAATTTGCCCTTACTACGACTGCTGCCTCTTCTACTTCTACTTTCACGTCTGCTTCCACTTCGACTGCTATCACTACCACTACCACTACTAACACTACTACACTACTACTAACTACTGCTACCACTACTCCTCCTACTCCTCCTACTCCTACTCCTACTCCTACTCCTACTCCTACGCCTACTCCTTCTCCTACTACTACTACTACTACTACTACTACTACTAGTACTACTAGTACTACTAGTACTACTAGTACTACTACTGCTACTACTACTACTACTCCTGCTACTACTACTACTACTACTACTCCTACTACTACTTCTACTTCTTCTACTCCTGCTACTACTACTACTACTACTGCTACTCCTACTCCTACTCCTACTCCTACTCCTACTCCTACTACTACTACTACTACTACTACTACTACTACTACTACTACTACTTCTACTTCTTCTACTGCTACTACTACCACCTCCTGCTGCTGCTGCTACTACTGCGTGACCGCCTGTCGCCCTTCATGGTCAGTCCGTGACCCTCAACCTTTGACCTTCGACCTTAAACCAGAAGACTAACCCACACGACCGGGGGTTTTGGTACCACTACCACTCACTGCGTAGCTCTTAGCACTTACCACCTAGGACTTATACGCCTTACGACTTACCACGTACCACTGCCGCTACGAATTTTCCTGCTGCTACTACATACCGCGACTACCACTACAATGGCAACGGCTGCTGCTTGTATGCAGTCAATATCGAAATTGAAGGCATAGTTCACTGAAAAATGACAGTCGCAGCTGTGTGTAACAGCTTGACGACTCCAATCTGCCCTTCTGGGAGGTACCCCAAACCAGTAAGAACATCAACACGATGCAGCACAGATTCGGCAATGTATTTAGTCTCCGTGAATCGTTGCGTCGTGGCTGCACGACATCGTTTTTCATCACAAGATTTGGGTTTGGCGTACTTCTGCTTGACCAAGCCACAACCGGCACAGCTGCCAAGGGCTGATTGCTTGCAACAGTCAGGACTCTAGAAACGAACCTGTAAACCCTCCACGTGGAGATCCAAATGAGCTGAGCCACGCCTCCTCCTCACATCCCCATAACCTCCACTCCTTCTGCAGCCGCTTCAGAGCCATGCCGGCTGGCTTGGTCGAGTTTTACTGATTAAGCCCTCGGATGTTGGGGGTTTGCGGTCGGGTCTGGGTCTGGGGGAGAATATGCAAGATGAAGATGCCACAGTGCTACTTTCCTGTCATCCGTCCCGTATCTTGAAGCCTGCAATGGGGTGCAGTTGCGGGGCACATGTGCCATATGCGACGCACACCATTTCAAGCATACAACAACCTCGCTATCCACGCAAAGCAAGCAAGCCCACAGCCAGCAGACTGGAACTACATGTCTGAGCCTTGGGGCCTACAAGCCAGACCTGACTTCGGGCTCGTCTTCTGAAAGTAGAAACTTCACGACACCATCTCATAAGGTGCTTGGGGACATAGGTGGACAAGACGTCGGCTGATAAATCGGTGGTCTAGGTGGAGATCAAGATATTGACGTCACAGTGTGCAAATATGGTGAGCTTCGGCACATGCGAACTGTCTGTTTTACCTCAGCAACCAGTTGCATGAACAAGTTTGTGCACATGTGATGAAACCAAACGTGCGTATCAATGACCATCAAGCAAACACGATCAACATCCGCGAATCTGGTGAGCACGATGACAGCCAAAAACCCATCAGAGAAATATCGACAGCTTTCAAGGACCGCTGCGACGCCAAACACTATTTGTGAGAGTCAACCTCTTTGGATTGAATATGCTACTGTAGAAAGCCTTACTTTCTATCATCTGCGTGATGACTTGGGCACATATCAGCATTCCAGGAATTTATCCGACGGCTAGTTACGGCTGCGAGTGTTGTTTTGCCCTATCGCTGCTCTAGCTACAGTACCTCTACCCGTTGCCTTTTGCTAAGGCCAAAGAACTACGAGTACCTTCTTCGTTAAGTCTCGGCCCCACAAAGCCTGAACCAGGGCTTGCAAGACGGCTTCATTTTCCCCTTTCGCTTTAGCAGGCCAGGACCTGCATGAGACGTCGACGTCGTGGGTGTTGGGTTTCGAGTTTTTGTCCGATAGCAGTTTGGAAGTCCTAGCGTTAAAGCGTCAATTCGGGCTCGCTCTTGTATACGTAAAATCTTACCCTTTCATGACCATTCGCTCGGCCGGCCAACTTGGGTGTGCCGATGGCCGCTTGTGGCCCGTGCTGCCGCTGGTCTATGTCACGCGAACAGAAACCAAGCTTTGGTTTGTAACGAACACATAGCGCGAATGCCAATATGTTTTGGTTGGCATGGCAAGGCACGTCTGTTGCGAACAACCGTCTCTCATAAACAGGGTTGCCGTAAACAGGCCGAATGCGTGATGTGCACGTTCGAGCTCGGTTGAAGCTCAGAAACGAGGGCTGAAGATTCTTCAAACCTGGCTAGTCCGTTCTTGTACAGTCAATGCCTACTTCCACGAACTTCCCCAAGTTCTACCTTGAAGACCTGAGTGCTGTAACACCGAAACTCAAACTCTGCAAGGCCCGGACAAAACAACTCAAACCAGCACCATGGATTCCAGAAACCGGGAAATCAAAGCCACAACCCCGGTTCTACACCCGAGCATCTAAAATCAAAGGGAGCCCATTCTAACCCCGAGCCCCTAAACCCCCAAATCACCTGAAGTCTCACAGCCGTAGAACCCCAATCACCCTAAACCCCTAGGTGAACCGGTAAGCGCCACACTCAGAGCGGAAGCTGTCCCGTGGGGTCCACGAGGGCATCGCGGTGGAGGCCTTTGCAGCTGGCCGGCTCCTCAGCGGTTTCCGAAGGATGGGGATCCAGAGCTTCTTGTTTTCGGGGTTTAAAGGCTTCCGAATCTAGACTTTGAGGGCTTTAAGACCCAGGGCACTTGGTGATTTTATGAGCGTTGTCGAGACTTCAGGAAGCAAGCCTTGGATCTCTGACTTTGGCCCGGCAAATCAGAGGGGCTAGAACTCAGGGCCAGTACAGGCCAGTACAGAGTTTTGATGGGCTTTGTGAGCTTTGGGGCTTTGCTTGGCGAGCCGTTGCAGCGAGGGAAAGCCATGGACACTGAGATCCCTGTCCACAAGTTGGCCCGAGATCTGAAGATCCTGGGACAAGCTCTGGACTCATGAAGTCGCAAACCTTGCGCGGCAATGAGTTCTACCCAATCCTAGCTCTTACCCCACGAACCGGTGCCAGAAACCTGCAACCCTAAGTACGTAGGACCTTTATGCTCTATTTGGCATTCGGCTTCGTTGTTATAATTCTTTGCCACAGAGATCCGTATTCGAATATCTAGCCTTTCAAGTTTTAAAAGTTTTCAATGTTTGAATGGCTTCTAAAATCTTTGAAATCTAATTGGCTGAACAGGATTTTTAAAATTTTAATGGCCTTAAAATCTTTAAAATCCTTAAAATTTAAATGGGCCAAGGTTTGGGCTTTGGAAAAGTTAGCAAACCATTAAATTTTTAAAAATCTTTAAAATTTTAATTGGCCGGCCAATTATTTGTTTAAGGATTTTTAAAAATTTAATGGGCTTTCTTGTTTAAACAATCTGGAAAGTTAGCAAACTTTTTAATTTTTAAAAATCTTTAAAAATCTTAAAAGTTAATTGGCCGGCCAAGTATTTTGTAAGATTTTTTTTTTGTTAAATTTAAGGCCTAAAATCTTTAAAATCATTAAAATTTAAATGGGCCGAGGTTTGGGCTTTGGAAAAGTTAGCAAACCATTAAATTTTTAAAAATCTTTAAAATCTTTAAAATTTAATTGGCCGGCCAATTAATTTTTAAGGATTTTTAAAATTTTAATGGCCTTAAAATCTTTAAAATCCTTAAAATTTAAATGGGCCAAGGTTTGGGCTTTGGAAAAGTTAGCAATCCATTAAATTTTTAAAAATCTTTAAATTCTTTAAAATTTAATTGGCCGGCCAATTAATTTTTACGGATTTTTAAAATTTTAATGGCCTCAACATCTTTAAAATCCTTAAAATTTAAATGGCCCACGGTTTGGGCTTTGGAAAAGTTAGCAAACCATTAAATTTTTAAAAATCTTTAAAATCTTTAAAATTTAATTGGCCGGCCAATTAATTTTTAAGGATTTTTAAAATTTTGATGGCCTTAAAATCTTTAAAATTTAATTGGCCGGCCAATTAATTTTTAAGGATTTTTAAAATTTTAATGGCCTCAAAATCTTTAAAATCTTTAAAATTTAAATGGGCCGAGGTTTGGGCTTTGGAAAAGTTAGCAAACCATTAAATTTTAAAAAATCTTTAAAATCTTTAAAATGTAATTGGACGGCCAATTAATTTTTAAATATTTTTAAAATTTTAATGGCCTTAAAATCTTTCAAATCCTTAAAAATTAATTGACTGGCCCATTAAATTTTAAAGATTTTAAAGACTTTTAAGAAAATTAATGGTTTGCTAACTTCTCCAAAGCCCAAACCGTGGCCCATTTAAATTTTAAGGATTTTAAAGATTTTAAGGCCATTAAAATTTTAAAAATCCTTAAAAATTAATTGGCTGGCCAATTACATTTTAAAGATTTTTAAAAATTTAATGGTTTGCTAACTTTTCCAAAGCCCAAACCGTGGCCCAATTAAATTTGAAGGATTTTAAAGATTTTAAGGCCATTAAAATTTTAAAAATCCTTAAACATTAATTGGCCGGCCAGTTAAATTTTAAAGATTTTAAAGATTTTTAAAAATTTAATGGTTTGCTAACTTCTCCAAAGCCCAAACCTCGGCCCATTTAAATTTTAAGGTTTTTAAAGATTTTAAGGCCATTAAAATTTTAAAAATCCTTAAAAATTAATTGGCCGGCCAATTAAATTTTAAAGATTTTAAAGATTTTTAAAAATTTAATGGTTTGCTAACTTTTCCAAAGCCCAAACCTTGGCCCATTTAAATTTTAATGATTTTAAAGATTTTAAGGCCATTAAAATTTTAAAAATCCTTAAAAATTAATTGGCTGGCCAATTACATTTTAAAGATTTTAAAGATTTTTTAAAATTTAATGGTTTGCTAACTTCTCCAAAGCCCAAACCGTGGCCCATTTAAATTTGAAGGATTTTAAAGATTTTAAGGCCATTAATATTTTAAAAATCCTTAAAAATTAATTGGCTGGCCAATTAAATTTTAAAGATTTTAAAGATTTTGAAAAATTTAATGGTTTGCTAACTTTTCCAAAGCCCAAACCGTGGCCCATTTAAATTTTAAGGGTTTTAAAGATTTTAAGGCCATTAAAATTTTAAAAATCCTTAAAAATTAATTGGCTGGCCAATTAAATTTTAAAGATTTTAAAGATTTTTTAAAATTTAATGGTTTGCTAACTTTTCCAAAGCCCAAACCTTGGCCCATTTAAATTTTAATGATTTTAAAGATTTTAAGGCCATTAAAATTTAAAAATAATTGGCCCCAACCCCACCCCCAGCCCCACCCCAGCCCCCCCCAGCCCCCAGCCCCCCCGCACCCAGCCCCCACCCCGCCCCGAGCCTTCCATCCTTCCACTCCTCCACCGCTCCTCCCCTCCACCCCTCCCCCGTGCACACCCACCCCATCCACCCCCACCCCTCCACCCACCCCTTCCACGCCCCTCCCTTACCCCTACCCTCCACCCCTCCAACCCTCCACCCCCCCCCCCCCCCCCCCACCACCGAACCTGTCATCACCTTTATCCCCCTTTTATCACCTTTTGTCACCCTTTATCACCTTTATCACCTTTCATCACCTTCCCACCTTTTCCCAGCCCCAACCCCTATCCAACCCCGACCCTCGACCTGTCCCAGGCCATCCCAGCCCCAGCCCCCTTCCTGTCCACCCCTTCCCCACCCCGTCCTATCCACCCTCTCCCCTCCTACCCTCCCTCCTTATCATCTTTACTATCATCTTATCATCCTTTTTCATTTTTTTTATTATCCTTATTATATTTTATCATCCAGCGGAAGAGGTGTCACTGTAGCGGTGCTAACACCAACAACATGACACATGTTCCGCGGAATATGTGTCACGATATCTGTGCTAACACCAAAAATTTGACACATTTTCCGCGGAATATGTGTCACTATAGCGGTGCTGAA